CTCACAGTCTCAGTCCTTGTGAAGCCCCTCACACCAGGGACCACATTGCCCAGAGACATCACCCATGGCTTTGGCCCAGTGCTCAGCCCCAGTTCCAGTGGCCGTGGGGACAGCTGCATCCCCAGGACCCCTTCAGTCCCCTCCCCTTGTATTTACTGAATGTGTTTACAATTACAGGGGATGCCAGGGAAGGCTGTGGCCAGCGAGTCAGCGTCGGGGCACTGCGGGCTGGAGGTCAGCACACTGTTTACTTTAATTTCTCTGAGAGCTTTTTGGGAGATTTCCCTCCTCCATTATTAAACTCAGATGAGCCGCTGGGGAGGTTAGGTCGCATGTGGTTCAGGGCACTTTTTTCTTTCGTAATTTTTTTCTTTTTTTTTTTCATATTTGCAATGTTTCACCCTTAACTCTTTCAGGACAAGCTGCCCATCTCAGCACTGGGATACCAAGATGAGCCCACGAGTGGGATGGTGGCTCCTGGGTGAGCTGTGACCTGGGCTGGTGCTGAAGATGCCATCATGTCCCCATCTGAGCATCACTGGGAGGTTTAGTTGGATATCAGGAAGGAGTTTTATCCCCAGAAGGTGCTGGAGCACTGAACAGGCTTCCCAGGGAATGGTCACAGCCCCAAGGCTGCCAGAGCTCCAGGAGCACTTGGACAATGCTCTCAGGGACAGGGTGGGATCCTCAGGGTGCTGCTGGGCAGAGGGCACGGGGGCTGCAGGCAGAACCTGAGGAACAGCAGCACTCACCTCGAGCAGGAGCAAGGCTCTGCATCCCCAGCTCATTTTGCACCGGGTGGCTCCAAACTCTGCTGCCCCCTTCCCAGCAGAGGGGTCAGGACCAGCCATGGCTGATGTCATGTGGGCACAGGGCCAAGTGCCAGGGCTCCTTCTGGGACTGATTTGGTTCAAAGCCTGTGGCACGCTGCAGAGGTGAGCAGGACACACAGCAGATGAGAAGCAGACAGCAGGATGAGCACAGGGAGTGGGAGCTGGGCCCTGGGATTGGAGGGTGAATTCCAGCATGGCCAGTGCCAGGCTGCCATCTCTGGCCCATCCCTGTGATGGCAGCAGGTTTCTGCTGGTCACAGAGGCCACCCCATTCCAGGCCCCAGGGAATGGCCCTGGTGGAGTAATTGGTGCCAGTGCCCTCTGGAGAAGCTCCAGTGGGTCACCCCAGCACCCCTTGGCCTTCCAAGCCCAGGAACTCCAGCTCCAAAACCCCAGTGAATCAAGTCCTGTGCTCAGCCTCCTTAAATTATTTTTAATTTCCTGGAGGGAGAGCTTTTAATTTATTTCTGGAACAAAGTGAGGGAAGGGGAGGGGAAGATGACTCTGAAGTCCATCACTAAGCCCTCTCCACTTCCAAACATTCCCTTTCCCACTGCCCCTGAAAGGACCAGCCCAGCCCTCCCTGAGTCACCATGTCCCCTCTATCCTGTCCCCAAGCTGGGGTTCCCTGCTCTGGGGTTCCCCACAGTGTCCCCACAGGCAGGTCCTTGCAGAGAGGGACAGCTGGGCCTGGGGGACACTGGCTTGCAGAGGAATGGAACTGTTTTCACAGGAAGCAGCAAATCCTGCTGGTCCCCATCAGACACAGACAATCCCAAGAGCTGGGCTGAACCTGAGCTGCACCAGTACAAAATCCCAGTGAGACAGACCCCTAAAATCACTGCTTCTGGATCCCTCTGTGAACCCAGAACTTCCCTGGCTCCTGCCATGGTTGGTACCAGGGGAGGAACCCCAAACTCCCCAAACCAGTGGAGCCAGGGCCAGGGCAGCAGGTTTGCAGCAGGCTCCAGCACACTGGCACCCCTTGGCCTGTGGGGATTCCTGGGGTGGGGACAAGCAAAGCTGAGAGGAGAAACCCTGCTCCTGCTCTGCCTGGAGCCAAACCCCAGTGGCACTCGTGGTTTTCTGTGCTGTTGAAATCTAAACCAGAGATGGAAAAGGCCTGTTTGGGATGTGCCTCTTGGTAAGCTGGGGGAGAAGGTTCCTGAATGGATCAAAATTCCCTCTGTGCTCTCAGTGATGAAAATTTCACCCAGTTTGAGTTCAGGCCATGGCGGGAGCAAAGCCCAGAGCAGCACAAAGCAAAGGCTTGGCTGATGGCAAAGGCTGAGCTGAGCCCATTGTGTGCCCAAACTCCTCTTTCTGTCCTGCCCATTCCCAGGTGCCTGAGTCAGCTCCTGCCCTTCCTGTGTGACAGGAAGGGTTTGTTCCTTTAATCCCAGGCTTCCCCTGGAGCTGCAGCCCAAGCGTCCCTGTTACAGCTCCTGGTCCTGCCCCTCTGACTGCTCCTCCATGGACTTGTCAAAGCCCTTGCAGCAGCCAGGAGCAGGAGAGGCTATCAAGGGGCCTGTCAGGCAGACGAGAAATTAAAACAACTTATTTATCACTCACATATTCCACTGCTCCAAACCCTCACCACGTCATGGGCGAACATCTGCTCCCTACATCCCACCTCCAGCAATTCAGAGTTTTCAAAAGGATTTTTGTCCATCCTGAAAGCACCTCCATCCCTCATCCTCCCCTCGGGGCAGGTGAGAGGTGCCGAGCCCAGCCCGGGGTTGGGCTGTGGAGGGTGCTCTGCTCGTGCCGTGTCTGTCCCAGAGCTCGCACAGGATGCCAGGCAAGGCCACATCGGGTGATCGGGCAGGAGATGGGGCCATCCCCGCCCGGGGCAGCTGTGGGGGTGACTGGGCAGTATGGGGCTGTCCCCACCGCGGCTCCCAGCCGCACAAAGCCTCTTTATCCCCCGAGACGTTCCCGGTGCTTCATGTGACCCCCGCGCTGGGCGCGGGCTCGTGGGAACCGTTTGATGTTCCTGAGCCTTTTCCTTTCCCAGTGCCGACACCCCGGCTCCGGGCGAGGGGAATAAAGAACCCACTGAGCGCTCAGCCCCGTCCCCATCCCCAAGGGGACCTGCTGAGCCTCACGGGACCCAGGGGCCGGTGGGAAGGAGCCAGAGTATCCCAATCCAGCCACCCTGCCCGTGTCGGGGAGCTCCCACCAGCACCCACCCAGCATCCCTGTCCCCACCCAACATCCCTGTCCCCACCCAGCATCCCTGTCCCACCCCCCAGCATCCCTGCACCCCCCAGCATCCCCGCTCCCACCCAGCTTCCCTGTCCCCCCCATCATCCCTGCACCCCCCAGCAGCCCTGTTCCCGCAGCATCCCTGTCCTCCCCCAGCATCCCTGTCCCCCCAACATCCTTGTCCCCCCCCCAACATCCCCGTCCCCCCCACCATCCCTGTCTTCCCCCAACATCCCTGCACCTCCCATCATCCCTGTCCCCCCCACAGCATCCCTGTCCCCCCCCAGCATCCATATCCCCCCCAGCATCCATATCCCCCCCAGCATCCATATCCCTCCCAGCATCCATATCCCCCCCAAGCATCCTTGTCCCCCCCAGCATCCCTATCCCGCCCATCATCCCTATCCCGCCCATCATCCCTGTCCCCCCCAGCATCCCTATCCCCCCCATTATCCCTGTCCCCCCCAGCATCCCTATCCCCCCCATTATCCCTGTCCCCCCCAGCATCCCTATCCCCCCCATCATCCCTGTCCCCCCCAGCATCCCTATCCCGCCCATCATCCCTGTCCCCTCCAGCATCCCTATCCCGCCCATCATCCCTGTCCCCCCCCATCATCCCTGTTCCTCCCCAGCCCCGCCGGCGCTGTCGGAAGTGCGGCCGTGTCACCTCCCCACGCGGGGCCGCTTCCGCTCCCGCTCCCACCCGCGGCGGCGGCGGCGGCGCACGGAGCCCGGGCCGGGGCCGGGGCCAGGGCCGGGGCCGGGGCTGGAGCAGGGCCGGACCGGGCCGGTGAGTGCTCGGGGCCGGGCGGGCGGTGCGAGCGGAGCGGCGGCTCCCGGGGCAGGGTTCAGGGGGGCTCTGCGGGACCCTCCAGCGGGGCCGGGGTCCCGGGGGCTCCGGGGGGCTCCGGGGGGCTCCGGGGGGCTCTGCAGGGCAGGGATGCTCCCCGGCCCGGCCCCTCCGGCCGCGCATCCCCCCCGGCAGCGCAGCCCGGCCCCGCTGCTATGGGGTGCAGCTCCTATGGGGCGCAGCGGTTTTATGGGGGTGTCACCGAGCAGATGTCACTGCGGGGGCTGCAGGGCGGGGGTCCCGCGGTTCCAGGCCTCTGCCAGCACCCCGGGCTGGGCACGGGCTCCTGCGCCCCTCCTGGTGCCCCGCCGCTGGCCGGGGTCAGACCGGGACACCCGATGGGTTCCTTGCTGAGGTTCCTGTGAGGATTCCTGGTAGGAGAGGGCTTGGAGAGCTCCTCTCGCTGCCGGTGACCCGGCAAGGAACACTGGGATAACCTTCCCTTTTCTGGGCCAGCCTGTTCCCAGTCCTGCAGGGAGGGAAGGTCAGTGGTGTCGCCACTTTGGGCACAGGCTGAGGCCAGCCCCCCGCCCTGATGCAGGGCTGGTGGCAGAGGTTGTGCACAGAAGCCCAGGCAGTCTCAGCTGCTGAAGGACATTTATTGCTGTGGGGACAGCATCTCCTTCCAAGCACACCTTTACCAGCATGGAATTAATTGCATCAGCCGCAGCCCAAATGCTGCCCGCAGCACGTGCAGCTGTGTGCCTGAGCCCCGTGATGCCCTTTGGCATCACCCAAGGGATGCTGCAGGAACAGGGGCTGGGACTGGAGCTCTCAGGGAAGACAGATGGGATGGGAGGTGGCTCCTTGAGCTTCTGCATCAGGTGGGAAGATGCCCTTGGACGGGTGGCACACCTGCCTATGGCAAGGGATGAGAACTAAATGAGCTTTATCTCTTCCAACCCAATCCATTCCCTGATTCCATGATGTAGCATGGGGCCATGCTGAGAGCAGCAGTCCAACACCCAGGAACACTGACCCCATGGTAGGTCCAGTGCCTTTAAAGAGGTAAATAAAGCAATGAGCGTGTTTTTCTCCACTGCAGCTGCCCTGAGCTCACAGCCCAGGTGCCCACAGGTGTGTCACGGCTCCGTGTCTCTCTTGCAGGCAGGACACCGGTGAGATGTTTGCTGTGTGCCCGGCAAACGCCCCGTTCCGGCAGGGCCGGGGGGGCCCAGCGCTGGGCACGGCCCTCCCAGGGGCGGGACATGGGCCGGACTCCAACTCCAACTTCGTGGGAGAGGTGTGTGACAGCAACGAGAACTGGAGCCAGCCAGCGCCGGGGTCCCCGCCGGAGGAGGGCTCCAGCCGGAGCGAAAACACCACAAATCCGTCGGATAATCTGCTGTTATTAATGCAGAGACAGATGGGCCAGGGCCGGCTTAGGGACAGCGCCCCGGGCCCGGGTGACCCGCACCCCGAGCAGGGGGAGCGCAGCCCCCCCGAGGGAGCCGAGGTCAGCGGGGCAGGGGGACACAGCGCTGCCCACGAGGGCTGTGCCAAGCCCCCGAGCTCCCCCGCAGAGGACAACGGCTACGCCAGCAGCTCCCTGAGCATCGACAGCCCCGACAGCGCCTGCAGCACCACCTGGGACCCTCCTGCCTCTGCCCCCCGAGCCGAGAGCCCCCCTGAGGCAGAGCCGACTGAGCCCGAGCTGGGGACCCTCTTCCCGGCGCTGGCAGAGGCTGTGCAGCACCTCCAGGACAAGGAGCGCTTCAAGGAGCAGGAGAAGGAGAAGCACCACATCCAGCTGGTGATGTACCGGCGCCTGGCCCTGCTGCGCTGGATCCACGGCCTGCAGCAGAGAGTTGTGGACCAGCAGAACCGGTTGCAGGAGAGTTTCGACACCATCCTGGATAATCGCAAGGAGCTCATCCGCTGCATGCAGCAGGGCCCAGCCTGCGTGGCTGCTGCAGCTGCCCCTGGCCCCTGAGGTGCCACCAGAGCAGCCTGGCCCAGCCCTCACCCTCCAGGTGCTGTGCTGTTGGCTGGTGGCATCTCCATCCTGTGCCTGGGTGCCCACCCTGCCCTTCCCATCTCTCTCCAACGCAGCCAAGAGTCCCCGAAGAGTTCATCTCCATCATCCTCTGCACTGGAATTTTTGTCCTGCATCCAGGTCTGGGGTGGCACTGGGCTGGGTTGACCTCAGGATCTTGGGGTTTGCTGAGCTCGAGGTGACCAGGCTCATCTTTAAACCTAATCTGGTCCATAGTTGAGCCCGGCTTAGCCACAGCAGTGCTGAGATGGCCATGCTGTGGCACTGGGCTGGGTCGACCTCAGGATCTTGGTTTTTGCTGAGCTCGAGGTGATCAGGCTCATCTTTAAACCTAATCTGGTCCATAGTTGAGCCTGGCTTAGCCACAGCAGTGCTGGGATGGCCGTGCTGGAGCTGCAGGGCAGTGAGGGCCCCAGGGCAGTGAGGCTTCCAAACCTCCCTGGGCAAAGCACTTCCAGCTCTGCTGCATCCCTGCATCACTGCAGGTGATCCCACCTGCACCGGTGCATCCCTGCAGCCACAGCCCAGCCCCTGGCAAACATTGCTTGTTGGTGAGAGTGAGGTGTCCTGGGCTGTAAAAGAGAAAAAAAATTCATTCTGAAAAGTGACCTCAGAATGCTGGAAAGTAAATTTAAGTCAAATGATCCAACACAATGTATGTTTTTAATGTCAGTATTAGTGAAAAGTTAATTTAGGTCTATGTGTGTGTGCATGTCTGTCTGCTGTGGGCAATGCTCTTGCTCAGTGCATGATCCCAAAGCTGCTCATGAACTTGTGGTGTTGGTGTTTATATTAATTTATCATTTGGGAGCAAAAAGAATATTTTTTTTTTGAATCTGCATTTTATCCAGTGAGAGCTGTACACAGAACCCAAAGAACAATTGTCTTACCTAGAGATGGAAAAGGAGCTGCTGTGTGTGTTTGCTGTGCTTTGCTGTGCATCCATAGGACACACATTCCATTTGAGTGCTGAGGAGGAGGAGGAGGAGGAGCAGCAGTGAGGGCTCAGCCAGAGGGGTCTGCACTCCCCATGCTGCCCTGGTTGCCGAGCAAAGCTGGGGACTGATTCCATTTCTCATCTGCAAAGGAGGGTGAGGAGGGATTCCAGAGATGCCTCCCAGCCAAAGTGCTGCCTGCCATTGGAGGAGCCACTTCACCAGGACCCCAGGGAGCAGCAGAAGAACCTGGCACCCACCGCCCACCAGATGCTCCTGGACTGTGGATGAACAACTGTGGCCAAGCCCACCAGTGGCCCACGGGCCAGGGGCAGCCCCAGCCTCCTCCTGCCCCACATGGGGCACAGGCTCTGCCCGCCCTGGGGCTGCTGCCAGTGGGTGAGGTGAGGAGAGCCACAAAAATCCTCCTCCAAAAAGGACATTTTGATGGCAAAGGGTGCACTCAGCTCAAAGCAACCTGTGCCAGCGCTGGAGGATTCTGGCAGCTTCCTGCAAGGCTCCTGCTGCCCTCACCTCCCTTCTCCTTGCTCGTGTCCAGCTCCTGCTGCCTCTGTTGTATCCCAGACCTGTGATCGTGGGCATGTTGCACACCTTAATAAAAGCCTTGGAGCTGAAGGAGCCGAGCCCCTGCTGGATTTGTTCCTTCCTTTCCCTCCCCAAGGCCTCAGGGCTGGGAGCAGCCACCCTGTGCTCACCACGGAGGCTGGGGATTGTGCAGGTGGAGCTTGGGTGAATGGCAGGTGGAGGGCACAGGTGTTGTCACCTTCCTCCCGTCCCTGCACCCCTGGGCATGCTGCCCTGCTGTGCCAGCTCTGGCAGTTCGTCCAGGCTCAGTTTTCCAGGTTTTTTTTTAAACCCCGGTGTGTGTTGCTCCTCCCCTCTCTGCCGTGGGGTGCGGTCTGGGTGCAGGACTCACCTTGTGCCCCAGGAGAAGGCGGCTGGAACCGGGGGGACCGGATTCCCGCATTCCTGGCACCCTGCCCTGCGGCCCTGCTCGTGGGGAGGGCTGGGGGCAGCTCTGGGTGATGGGGGTGGCAGATAACGACACCTGAGTGTTGACCCAAAGGTGACTTTGCCTCAGGCTTCACAGAGATTAGCTAGAGATGAAAAACCGAGGCTGCAGCAGCCCTTTGAACCCTCTCTCACCTTTCCCCCCACCCCTTCCTGCTTCTCCTTTCCAGCCTCTGAGTCTGTGGGAATCCAGGGATGCAGTTCAGGGATCCATGTGCAGACACAGCAAGGCATGAAGGGCAGAGTGGCCACATTTTTCCATCCTCGTCCGTTTGTCCAAGCCCTCGGGGGTTCCACAGGATGGGGGGTGCTCCTCTCAGAGCCCTTTTCTCACCTCATCCGCTTTCCATGGAGCTCGTGCTCCCTCAGGTTTGGGGGAACATGAGCCCTCCCAGCCCTGCAGCAAGACTGAAAGATTCTCTGTTTGTCTTGGTCAAATGCTTTACACAAATAATTATTTCCAAGGTAAATATTGTGAAAATCCAGATTATTTGCTCAAGAAATGAAAGAATAACTGCGGGAGCACATCAAAGAGGTGGATCTGCTCTGGCAACAAGAGGCTTCCTCCCTGGTTATTGGGAGCCTGATGCTCCTGCCCCAGGACCTGGCTGGAGATGGCCAGAACTGATTTGCAAAATCAACTTCAGACAGAGCTTTTCCACCCCCAGCTCCCGCGCCCCAAATGAGATTTGGGAATTAATTAAAAACCCGACCAATTGCGAGGGGGGGGAAAAAACCAATAAAGACACAAAATGCTGCAGGGTTGAGCCCGGGCCAGCTTGGAGGGGGCAGGGTCCCACCCCCAGGACATTCTGACCCTGTAGGGGCAGGGTCCCACCCCCAGGACATTCTGACCCTGTAGGGGCAGGGTCCCACCCCCAGGACATTCTGACCCTGTAGGGGCAGGGTCCCACTCCCCAGGACATTCTGACCCTGTAGGGGCAGGGTCCCACCCCCCAGGACATTCTGACCCTGTAGGGGCAGGGTCCCACTCCCCAGGACATTCTGACCCTGTAGGGGCAGGGTCCCATCCCCAGGACATTCTGACCCTGTAGGGGCAGGGTCCCACTCCCCAGGACATTCTGACCCTGCATCCCGTGCTCAGCCCCCTGTGGGTGCAGTTCAGGTGGGATGGGTGCCACGGGCAGGATCTGACCCAGGGCTCCATGCCAGGGATTTCCCCATCCTCAGGGATGGCCAAACCTCCTTAAAGGGGCTGAATTCTCACCTCACAGAGGGATTAGCTTGGCTCTCAGGGCAGATGCTGCAGCCCCAAACACGCCAGGTCTGTGGCAATGCCAGCAGCAGGATCTGGATCCAGCCACTGCTCTGATCTGGAGCCACCTTGGGGCTGCCCCCAGCACGGGGGGATCTGAGCTGTGGACCCCACAGCATCCAAGTCTGAATTCCCATGCCTGACCCACGGCCCCTCTGGTTTTAAGGCCTCCTCTGAAAGTTTATTATTACTATTATATCAAATCCCTGTGACGCTGGGCCAGTTTTACTGCACAAAGCAGGGTTTGGCAAATGCTGCCTTGCTTTGAAAGTTAAAATAATGGCATTACACCAAAATCAAGTATTTATAAAGCTTTAGAGGGAAATATTTTACCTTGTAATTGGAATCCACTCTAACCCTTTCCAGTATTTTGTGGGTTTAAAAAAAGTCTTTAAAAATAAAACTGAATGATGTGATAACTGATGCAATGAAAGTACAAAAGAAAATTAATCATCTCAGGTCATTATTCAGAGATCCAGACTGGGACACACTTAAAGCATCCCAGGATCCCTTGTTTATTGTATCTCAAAGACTTCCAGATCCCACATGTTTGGTTTGCAGTGGGAAAAGGGCTTTCCTTGCTCTCAGCTGGGAAGGTGAACACAGCCAGAGCTGCTCCCCTCACCCCAAATGTCACATCCAGGCAGCACCCAGTGTGCTGAGGGGTCCCACCCCCCTGGGTACCCCGTGTCCCACTGCCACCATCCTTCCCAGGCTTCTCCCTGGGGCAGGAGGAGTGAGGCTGCCTGGAGAGATGAGCTCAGCCCTTATAGGATCCCCAGGTGCCACCGTGCTGGGAGCACCTGCCACTGCCTGGGAGGTCCAGGAGGGTGGTGGGGAGCAGGGGGGCTCTGTCCTGCTGCTCCAGTCTCTCCACGGAGGGATCCTCCTTGTCCATCCAGGAGGGGATGTCCATCCTCCTTGTCCATCCAGGAGAGGGGATGTCCATCCTCCTTGTCCATCCAGGAGGGGATGTCCATTCTCCTTGTCCATCCAGGCTCCTTTTCCCTGCAGCCCTGGGTAAGTGGCACTGACCAGTGGGAACTGGAGGGTTGGGGACAAATCCTGGGAGTTCTTGTGGTCCTGAGCCTTGGTGCATCCCTCCTGTTCCAGCAGCATCCACTGGGACAGAACCACCATTCACAGAATTTTTCAGGCTATTCTCACTCCCTGGTGTTTTATATTTCATTTTAACTGCCTCACACTGTCAGAATAAATACCGAATAAACACAGGCACCTCCTGCTTGAAACAGAGCAGAGCAGCACCAGTGCCAAGGGCTCGGGGTGGACAAGGTGGGAGGCAGGATTTGGAATACCAGGATCTTCCCCCCACCCTGCACTGCTGAGGTGTCAGGGCACACTGCAAACCCTGATGCCCTTCCAGGGTATTTCTAAAACCTTGGAATATGTTAGAACCTGGGCATCATCCCAGCCTGATCACTGCAGCTGGAAACGTGAACCTGGAGCACCACAGGCAGAACTGGACCACGCTGGGATGTGAGCAGCACAGCCCGGCTCAGTGTGAGCATCCTCCTCACCTTGGATGGTTCATTTTGCCAGGACCCGGTTCCTGCCCGTCCTTTCCAGCGGCGTTGGGATGGGCGGGACCCCGAGCCGGGCTCTGCCGCGGTATCTGATGGAAACGCAGTTTGAGCCTCCCTTCTTTAATGATTCCCTTTGAAATGTTGTTGCTTCCGCACATCCCCCTTCGGGGTAGAATATTAAGCAAGAGCAACTCGGCTGGAAATTCAGATTGTTTTTGTGTCTGTTTTCATTTACATTTTAATGACAGAGGAGTTGTAGCAATCGAAGCAATCAGGCTGTTTGCAGCAGGGCCAGGGAAAGGGGCAAAAAAAATCACCTGCCACCACCTCACCTTTGCCCTCTGTAAACAGCACCAGGAGCTAGGAATCACCAACTTTGGGCATGAAGGGGCTCTTTTCCCCTTTCTCCTGCCCAGGCAGGTGGGATTTAAGTCAGAAATGGGTTCTTGGACCCCTTGCAGGGCTTTGCCCAGGTGCAGCATTGAGACACAGTGCACTGGGTGTTTGGTGCTGGGGAAGGGGATGGGGTGTGAGGGAGTGAGCACATGGGTGCTGTCCATTTGGGATGGTTGGGTGCTGAGGCCGAGGGTATTGCTGCTGCTCCAGGAGCTCACTGCACCTGCAGGAGGAGGGGGAAAGGGCTCCCAGGCATCTGCTCTGGACAGAGGTGGGGCAGGATTTCCCCTGTGAGAGCAGAGCCCTATCCCAGGAGCCAGCACCTCCTCAGTGCCTCCCCAGCAGCCCGTGGCTCTTCAGATGAGGTATGGGGATCCAGGCCTCCCTGAGAAAACAGCTGGGAGTAAAGATCACTGGAAGAGAGGCAATAAACTCTCGGTTATTCTTCTGCCAGGGAGGCCAATCGAGCTGCAAAGAGTGCCCCAAGGCCAGCTGTACATCATTATTTCCTCGCACGGGTCCTGGGTGATGTAGTGGCTGTCTGGCTGCAGGGAATGCCTTCCTGGTTTTCAGCATCAGCACTGGAATATCTGGAGCCCTGGAAGCATCGGGTTGAATCCCAAAAGCCCCAGTGCTGCATTTTATTCCTTCAAGATGATAATAATCCCAAGACACAGGGCCTGTCCATGAGTGTTTGAGGGCTAAAAACAGAGATTCTTCCTGCACAGCCAACAAATCCCTGTGCAGCCCCAGGGGCTCACTGCGGGGGGGGGGGCTGCTGGCTCCTCCTGGCCATGATGGGGGGACACCATTCCCCACAGGCTGCTGCAGTTTGGGACGGGGCTGGGGGCTGCCAAAGACAGGCTCCAGCTCTGTGACACAGGTGGGACTGCAGTGTCACCACTGCCAGCCTCTGCAGACAGGAACCCCTGGGGTACAGGCTGGGCCCGGGTTTCAACCTCTGGGATGGCCAGACTGGTGTCCAAGCTCTCTGTGGACCACTGGAAGTGGACAAAACCTCAGATCAGTGTGGCAGAGTGAGGCTTCCAGCTTGTCTGTGCTTAGACTTAAACTGAAGTGCCTGGCTTGGCTGCATTCACAGACTCTATCTATGTTTTCCATCTTGGAATCTCCATTTTCCTCTGTCCTGGCTTAATTTCTCTGCTCTGGACAGGGCCGGAGGGAGAAGGCAGCTTCCAGCTCCCAGTCACGGATGGAGGCTGCATTTCACACCAGCAACAAAGCGAAACAACAAAGAAATGCATCTGGGTTTTTAAAGTCCATTTAGGCCTTGGCTCATTTTGTTTTCTGTTCCCAAAGCCTCCTTCCCCAAGTCTCCAGCTCTGCCCTGCAAGTGGCACCATCTGTATTTTCTTGTTTGAGTGCTG